TGAGGCACAAACATCGAGTGGCGAGCTAGAGACGCCAAATAGAAAACCGTGCAAGCACGAACCGTAGGTGGGGCAGCGATCGGCCTCGTAGCCAAGGAAGCGATCGTAGTTACCGGGAACGCCAATGTCGCGACTCTGTTGTTAAGCAAGAGACAGTATTCGGAATGAAGGGAGGAAAAAAAAAGTGTGTGTGTGTGTGTGTGTGTGTGTGTGTGTGTGTGTGTGTGTGTGTGTGTGTGTGTGTGTGTGTGTGTGTGAATGTCAGCTGAGGGGGTGGGTGCTGGTGAGCCACACAAAGAAAAAGTTATGGATCAGATCATCTACAAAGCGGTGCAGCATGGCTTTGCACCTGAAAGAAAGCAACGTAAAAGAGACTGCTGTACAAGTTGACGGCGTTGAAGAGAAACACTTTGAACGTCAGGTGGCGCTCATATGCCGATTCCGTCTAAGCCGGGCAGCAGGCAGGAATGAAGTGGACAGTTCAGACATACGCGGGAGCAGCATTCAGCGTGGTGACCTGGAGTTTGAGAGCAACTGCGACAGACCTTGTGGTTTTCCCAGTTTGTGAGAAAGATGGCCAGATACGGGTCTGATTGCAAGCAGGCACGGATCATGAGGCCGAGCAGATATCACGCATTCCTTTGAACTGAGTTACAGCATTTTTGAGTTTGATGCTTTGCCGGCACCACTTACAAATGAGGCTGAGGAGGAGGATAAATACCAGGTTGATGACGGCCGCCGTGCTCGAGGCAACGAGCGAGGCTACAACGCGAGAGCGAAATCAAAAGCAACGAAGATACATACAAGCATCTGCTTGGCACGAAAAGGGATTGGAGCATGCCTGGTATTGTAGATTGGATAAGAGCGTCGCACCTTCAGTTTGTTCGCGCTGGGTACCATCACCAGCTTCCAACAGCGAGATGTAAACGGCCAAGCGGTCTACAACCCCGACCCAATACCCCATGCTGGGTGAGTTCAAAATGTGTCACGAGAGGGTCGAATCCTGTTTGCGCGCGTGCGTCGTCAAGGGGAGACCATTCAAACGTACAAACAATGGTGCCCACAAGAGCAATGATGACACAGGCGCAGACCACCAGCACCGTGCTGACAGTAACTGAGTATTTCATGTATCGCAATTGCTTGGGGTAGTACTGCATCCGCATTGGGACGACAATGAAAGTGAGCAAAAAAAAAGAAAAAAGAAGAAGGAAAAAAAAAAAAAAAAGCTAGCTGCATGAATGCGAAGTGGTAGTGCGTGGCAGGAACAGACCTTCTCGACGACACCCGTCACAGGATTTCGCTGATAAACGCCGTGCTGTGCCTCAAATTGTGGGCGTTGGGGCTCAAGGTCTTGGGCATCATCCACCTCGTAGTCGTAGGCCAACTGTCGTGTGCGTGTCACGGGAATGGGTTTCGGTTAGAGAATGGGGGTTTGGCGCGACAAGTCGCGGGTCCAAGGAGGGTGGTNAAGGGTGCGCTCATCTTCCCACCTCGGCTTCGCGGCGCAGCCATGAATCGTGAAACAGTGTGGCCCAGATGGACATGATCCAGGCAAATGCCACGGTGAACTCGTTGTCGAAAATATACAGCTGCCAAACAAGGCCAAGGGCAGGTATTGTGAGCAGAAGGGCACCGAATCATGTCCACTTGGGTGTTTAAGTAGCCAGTGCGCACCACTTGGTAAGAGAGACAAGAGTCTTTGAGTTCCCACTTGTTGCATGAGCTGCATGCGCCTGGGCAGGCAGTGACAATGGTTGGGAGATGATGACATGGTTGTGGTGAGAATTGAGCCAAAAGCACATCGGTCCTCGCTGACAGTAAAACATGACGCACCGCAGACAGTGATGTTTGAGTTGCACAGGTCTTCAGCATCTTGACGACCCCGAAAGTTGCCGAGCCCATAAAAGAGGGTGATCAGACCCAACAGCGAGGGCAGTAGCAGCCAGGCCGTATCTGTCAACCCAGCCAGACACCAATCACGATGAGCTGGCTGTGCCAGTGGGGTGTGCATTGACAAGAAGCCCTCCAAATGCGGACAGAGGATAGCCGGGTTCGGAGCGCGACGCCTACGTGCGAGCGTGCGTGCTGTACGTACAGGAGCCAAGGAAGGCGAAATAAAATACAAACTTCTCGCCAAAGTAGCGGCGGACCAATTGAAGGGGCTGGTGGTTGCGCCAGGCGCCAAAGCGGCCCCACTATCGAGACAAGCAATTTCCGCCCGCCATCAGGAGGAGTCAAAGTGAGAACTGCCACGCAGCGGGCAAGCAAGTGCCTGTGCGCAGCAACACGGGCGTGAAACAAACCAGCTCGTATAGGACACCGCGCACGCCGTATTTTTGCACCAAGGCGTCGCCAAACACGGCATGTTGTTCTGCATCGTATGAAGGTGAGAGAATGCCACACGAGCTCTGCCAAAAGCTTGCAGAGGGCTGGCGTGGCGGCAGTGACATTTACCGGCGGGAGTAAGCTCCACATCGATGTCGCCATCAAGTTGATAGTGTTGACGCTGGCGGCCATGGCGTGCGCCGTAGCGGTGTGTCACATTGGGAACATGTGCCTTGCGCAGATCCGAAAGTTCTGCTTCGTTTGCCACCTCCTCAAACTCGAAGCGTCGCGCGTTGCGATTCTCACGCGCGGCATAAGTGGCCACGGCTAGATCACCGTACTCTTGGAAGGTCAGCTGACCACATCCACATCCACGGGGGGGCAG